ATGTTGATCTTATTTCCCAACCACCTCAAATCGGTTTGGTCAGTCCAACCCCAAATCGATTTCACCCGGTTAGGGTTCAACCAAAGTTCCAACATTCCTCCCCCATTTTAGTGTATTCAAAAAATTCACTAAAATCACAACATTCTTCCAACAAAACTTAAACATAAATGAAATTATCGTGACGATTGAATTTTCACCTTAGTATATTACGCTTGACAAATATTCAAATACAAAGGGTGTTGGTAACGATTGAACCCATTGACTCATATGAATATTCGAAGATAATATACACTTAAGTTTCAAAAATTTTAAGCGCCTTGACACTATTACCCGCCATGTGTCCAATCCTTCTCAGAAGCGCACACGAAACCAAAGTCCGGGTTTCTTGAAGCGGCTACACTTCATGCTTACGTAGGTCGAATCTCTTATTCGTGTACCTGCATCATACACTTTTTCAAAGATTCAATTAAGAAGTTTTGAACTTCATCCCTTTCTCTCATGCAGGATAACAAGCACATACCTCGGGATGACAAATTGTGTGCTTCAATTTCTGATAATAAGCTTTCCACATTGAATTCAGCCTCTAACGTTGTATTAGAGGGGAATTGGGTGTCCCATTATCAGAAATTATATGGACTTTAAATCATCCTTTTCACAGACTTGATAACCAAGTCACTAGTTAACCACTTCGTCAAATGATCAACCAAATTATTTCGAGTCTGGTCATACTGTCTAGACACAACTCTATGAATGATCAGTTCACAGATTTTACCGTGCCTCACTTCCACATGACCGTACTTGTCATTTTCACTTGACTATATGCCTTAGCCAAATTAGCATTACTATCACAAAGGATAGTAATAAGTGAGATTGGTTTAAGCCAAACCTCTCAACAATTATGTCTCTTCTCTAAGAGAAACCAAGACCACACAAACTTTGATTCCATAGTGAAACTTAGTGATGCAAGTTTACTTTCTAGAGGCCCAAAATATGGCACCTCTCCCAAGCAAGAGGACCCATCTCAATGTTGAAGTATCACCTTTAACATGAGAAATTCAACTAACATCAACAAATCCTTCCAAAATGGATGGAAAACCACTATAACTCAATACAATGTGCATTTGACATATCCTAGTACACACCTCATTTCATTTCAAATGATGAGAATTGAGAACTAGGATTCATCTCGTACCAACTTAATTATTCTATCGCATATGCGATATCTAGCATCATGCAAGTCATGCATACATCGAGCCCCCAATTTAACATGGAATACTCCAGTTGTAAAACTGATTTCCAGTATTAACCATAAGTTTCATAGTTGGATCCATTGGGGTCTTCAACTCACTACAATTCATACTATGGAATTTATGCAAGTACCTTCTCATGCAGAAAAATTGAGAGAAGGAATATTCTTTGTTGTACCGCTTGATTCAATAGACAGAATCACATTTACCTCCCCATGTCTCACATGGAGAATTCAAATAACAACTTTTTATCAAAAGTTCACTTATCTTTTATTGGTCCCAAAGATAAGCATGTCATATACATACAAATGTACAATGACTCCATTACCAGAATCATCATAAATTTTATATACATTTTGTCTCCACCAAACCACTAGACAAATCCAAATTTGTCTAGAACTTAAAAATTTCGAATAGAGAATTAGACTAATTAACTATTGAGTATGTGACCTACCCAAAGGCAATTTTCATTCTTCTATTTCTCCATTTTACAAATCATTATCCTTCTTCCTCATCTTCGAATCATCCCTCTTCCAAGTTACATTCCGGATATGGAATACACCATGAGACAAGTACGAAGAAAACCCATCTTCTACTGCCATCGATGAAAAACCCATCATCGAACATTCTCATAATTCCATAGACCGGAACCAGTTTCTTGTAAAGAGCGGTTCAAACCATCGTACCGGAAAATATTCTTGACGATTGTTGGGACTTTTTGGGACGAGGGTGTAAATACGATAGCCCGAGACCGGGTGACTAGGATTATGATAGAGTCGTGAACTACGTTCACTTTCCGTAAAGAATATTTTCACCCTCAACAAGCCTAGGGTTACAGGAAATTTCTTCGTAGGATAAAACTATCACCACTTTAGGTTCCAAGCTTAAGTACCTAAAGCATACTTAGAAGTTTAGTAGGAAGAAGAATCAATTTTTTTTTGGTGTGTCCCATTTGACATCCGGCCTGCCAAATTTATAGAACTAGGAAGAGGGCACGATTTCAAAAATAAAGAGTCACAACTCTTCATGAAAAGTTGGTTGTTACCGGTTGCATGGTAATTGCCTTTACCAAAGATGGCATTGGTTCATGCCAAACACCACATCATTCACGTGTGTTTCATCCACCAAAACCCACTTGCCAAGCAACGTGTTACCCATGTAATTTGAATACAATTCCATTTCCATGCAAATGGAACATTGTCCCAATCCAAATTCCATGCAACGTATATAATGGAAGGGATAAACTTTCCATGGTAGTACATCATTCCAGAACACGAATTTGGTTCATCAGGTTAGCTTGGTCAGATACGAACCAAATCGATCTAGTATGTTTAGTTCATACCAATACCAGAATCCAAATGGAGGTTGGATAATTTTAAAAATTAATTTAACCAACTCATGTTGATCTTATTTTCCAACCACCTCAAATCGGTTTGGTCAGTCCAACCCCAAATTGATTTCACCCGGTTAGGGTTCAACCAAAGTTCCAACATTATCTCACCATAAAGGAAAAAAAATTCGGCTCCTCCTAAACTAAAATCTTGGCTTCGTCCCTGTAGTAAAAGTATTCTAAGTGTGCACTCTATAATCTAATCTGCCAAATAATGATCTTATTAGCAATTATGCATGTTTTAGAGGGATGCTCTGTTTGCAATACATATATTTTTCTATGATTATGATTCAGTTTACAATAATTTTATTAGGATTAACTATTTTTTTTTTTTTACAAGAAGTTAGGATTAACTATTGTGGTTGGTATATTGATGTCATTTAATGTAAACTTATCAAATGATGCGTGAAGAGTAGAGATATGCAACAATCCAATCTGAACCAAACCAAACTCCAAATAACTTTTTTTTTTAACAAAAGATAATTATATTAAATTATAAGAAGATATCGAACTACATCCTGAAACCAACCCAGACACGAAAATCATACAATTGACACATAGCAGGAGACAAAGAAAGGGCCTTCCTAGCCACTGAGTGGGCTACCCCATTGCTATTCCGACCGACGAATTGAATACTAAAACCACTACTCTGCGCCATCAAATGGATGATCTCCTGGATAATAACCCCGACACGACTATCTTGCGCATCTCTAGCATTAACCTTATCAATAAGCACCTTCGCGTCCCCTTCAAAACGAACTTGATTGATGCCGAGGCCTTGACACCAATTAATTGCCTCCGGGAGGGTTATAGTCTCCACCACAAGAGGGTCTATCATATTTTCATAAACCACACCTCTTGCCAAGAGTACAGCGCCGCCTCCATCCCTTATGATTATACCTCCTGATGAATGTGAGTCGGTACGAACCGCCCCATCCCACATACAGACGACTGAGGTTGAATCCAACAAGCTCATACTATGCTGCACAGGAGGTTGATCGTGGATTACCCTATCCACTGGCAATGACACCCACTCATGGAGCTGCTGATGGTATTGACGCATCAATTGAGGAACTAAGTACTGCTTACCCTCAAAGGCAGCCCAGTTCCTAGACTTCCAAATACGCCATAGGAGTGCCACCAAAGCCATAATTTGATCAGGTTGGGTCAACCTATGCAGACATCTTTTAAGGAAAAGAGGGAAGGTGTGACGAGGCAAACCATGACCCAACTGATCCAGACCAAAATGAGCCCAAAGGGCCTCCGCAATCGGGCATTCCCAAAAAAGCTGCTCCATTGTTTCAGATTCCGCCCAACACACCTGGCACCGAGGCAAAATCTGAACTTTCTTCTCAATCAAAACTTCGGTCGTAGGCAAGATACGATGAAAAATTTGCCAAAGGAATAACCTTAGTTTAGGTGGGATCGGGAGCCCCCACAATCGCATCCAACTCGACCTATCCATCCAGCTTACCACAGGTCGCCATGACCCTACCTGTCTAGTCGTCAAAACAGCCAAATTGTAGGCAGACTTGACAGTGAAAATGCCATCACAAGTATCATGCCACACTAGCTTATCCACAATACCCGTTCGGGGCAAGGGGATTAGGGATGGCAATTTCGACCTGACCCGTTTTATCCGACCTGTTTGGCCTGTTTTGGGGCGGGTCCGACCCGCTCCGTAGGCGGGGCGGGGCGGGCATGGGTACTATCATCGACCCGACCTGACCCGCCCCATTCTCGACCCTTTCTTGCCTAAATTACATGTAATCTTAGTCAATTTACTTAAGATTTTTCTTTTATTACATCATAATTTAGCTATAATAATGTTGTAAATTAGTGAAAACCTCAATTTCTCTAATAATTTAATTACATTTATAAAAAATTTGTTTGTTTTCTTGGTCTTATAATAAAAATAACGAATATTTCTAATATTTTTTATATAAATTGCATACCTATTGGGTCGACCTGCCCCGACCTGCGACCCATCATAAATTACCCGACCTGAACCCGACCTGCCACGGAGCGGGTCTGGATATCAAGAAACCTGCCCCAATGCCATTCCTAAAGAGGATGGCTAAGATGGCAGGAGTAACTACGGTCCAATAGTAAAAGGAACTCTAGAATCAAAGATCAAACCAACAAATGTAAGTAAAAGGAACTCTAGAATCAAAGATCAAACCAACAATACATTTGACACACTTTGATCCGATCTAAATATCAAAAAATTTCTCTCATTAGTTCTGAGTTCTGACCCTCAAAGGGGGAGTTGGACCTTAGAACTGTATTAGAGACCACTTGGCATTTTGTAGTAAAACTTAGGGCTACACATTGTGATAATCAATTTGCAGTTCCAACGATAATTAAGCCACGAAATAACGAATAATCCTTCAAATAAAAGACCGCTAATGGGTATTAGACTAATAATAGTACATTTCCAGTTCACTTGACTGTCTGCCTTATAACTTTTAGCCATAGAGGCCAAAAAAATCAACGAAAGAAACCTCTACCGAACAGCCAAACACTGATTGCAGCCACAAAGTAAAACAAAACAAATAACCCTACAGAATGCCGCAACGTCTAGTCTTCTAAATAATGTTTTTCCCTATAAGAATGTCAGCGGAAGGAGAGGCCGAAAAAAAGAACTAAAATGACCGAAAAGAAGATGAAGCAAAATTTGAGGAAGGAGAAAAACCACGAAAAGACTAATTCTTTCCACCTAGAACGGCGCCTGCAGCAGCAGGAGTGGCGCCTGCAGCAGGTGGCGCCGGTCTAGTTTGACGGGCTCCTCTCACACCTCCGTTCTGATAAACCTTCGCCTCGCCGTTGCGTCCAGCACCACCACCTCTCGCATGACCTGAGAAATTGCCACCGCCCTGCTGGTTCTCAAACTCACCCTTCCCATACCCTCCACCACGTCCTCCAACAAAGCTCCCACCGCGGCCCCTGAAGCCGTCGTTCCTGTAACCGCCCCTTCTCGGTGCAAACTTCCCGGCTTCCCCAGCAGCTAGGGACGGAAATAAGAGACATTCATTAACAATGTCCATAACCGAGGGATTCAAGGTTGCCTTGCAAGGAGAGATTCGAGTAGGGACGTACCTTTCTTCTTCTCGATATGAGCTTCCCGGTTGCCAATCATCATGGTCCCAGCCTATAGTAATAACCCAGTCCGAATAAGGATGCGAATCAGATTTTAAGTATGAATGTGTGAAGGAAATAGGGGCGCGACAACAGTACCTCAAGGGCTTTCTCCATGGAGCTAGCTGATTCGAAGTCCACAAACCCAAAACAGTTCTTCTCTTGCTGGAAATTAAGATTTTGATATATAAACCATGTTAGGATTGGTCATATAAAGCAACCAAGAAAGAGAAACTGGCCATTGCTGTAAAATATGTATGTGTATCTAAGCAAAGACCTTGTAGCTTCTGACTTGGACGCCGCCGGACTTGATGGGCCCGAATTTCTCGAAAATCTCGTACAGCTGTTCAGGAGTTGCATCCATTGGCAGGTTGGCAACAAAGATAGGGTGGCCCTTCCCTGCAGCAGAAGGGATCGAAATGTATATTAGAAATTGAGAGAAACACAATTTACCAAAACAGTGAACTAAGATAACAGCAGCAGTAGAAAAGTAAACTTCAATTACCAGTGAAATTGTTGTTCCTTTCGACGGAGTTGTTTCTAGCAGGACGAGGAGCTGGAGCATCTGTTGGTGCAGCTGCTGGTGCTGCAGCAGCAACAGGAGCAAGGACAACAGGTTTTGGTGGTGCAATCCTCTGCTGGAATGGCTGGGGCTTGTAGTTCAATTGGTTGGCCTACGTGAAAAGGGAAGAAACTTGAGCAGCAAGACCCTCTAAAGAATCAACGGTGTCCTTGTTTTGGCTAAAAAAATAAGGAAGAAAAGAAGAGCTTTTATATGTGAGAATTACGCACAATTGAAGCATAAGACTTCTTGGGAGCATCCTCCGTCGCCGTAGGGGTAGCAGCTGTCTCAGACAGCTGGTGATGATTTGCTTCCTGAGTTGCAACTTCAGCCTTTGGAATAGCAGCAACAATTTCTGCAGCCTCAGCAACACTATTTGATACATAATCTTTCTCTGCAACAGCAATGTCACCATTGTCCAGCTGAAGACTAGCTTCATTGCTGACGGGTATGGTATCTTCAGCAGAAACAGTAGCAGTTTCTTGCTCCACCACAACATGATTGGTGAAAGGAGTAGGCTCTACAAAATCAGACAGCCAGATACCATATTTCACTGATAAAGAAATTACCCAAGGAAAGATCAATCTTAAGAAAAGTTGTATTCAGAACTGACCAGGTTCAGGGGTAACAACAGGAGCAGTATCAGCAGCAACCTCGGAACCCTTCACAGCTAGCAATTCTTCTTCATCGACATACCTCAGAACATCGTTCAAGACAAAGAATCCAGCATTATCTTGTGGAGCAAGAAAGAATAATTGGGTGAATTTCCGCTTCAGCCCATCCTTTGCGGTGAGGAAACCAGTCACCAGAACGATGACTCCATCCCCAAATGATTTCTGAGAATCAGCTGTCAGTATCTGGACCTCACAGTCTTTGTACTCCAGAGACAGGATCATCTGATTGATACCCTGCATGAACAAGGCGATTCGTAAGCATAAGAATGATATGGGCAGCATGAAAATAGTAAAACTAAATCTAGGTGCAAGAAGAACAACTAACAAACTGTACTGAAACACGGTAAAAACAATTAAGTTTTGTAGAAATAAAACAGACTGCGCAGCAAGGCTCAAGATACTTAGAATACAAACCAGGGCCAACAAGCACTAATTATGGTCACAACATATTTAAATCCAAACAAAGGTCATTGCTTTCTTTGCAAAAGGGACACCATCACTAAGCTGCAATAATAATACCCCATTTCAGATTTACCTATGCAAGAGAGTTATCTCCTAGTTGAACACGACAGTTAAAAATTGACAGCAACAGACATTACATGACAAGCAGTGTGGTCTTTGATGAACTTACAGCCATAGTTGAGACAGACGACATCAAGCCATCAGCAACTGGCCTGCTCATGACACTGGAGTCCTGATAAAACTTATGAACCACATCGGGCGATTTCGAGAGCATGTTGTAGTACTGCTCAACAAAGGCATTCCCAACCAACTGAGCAGTGGGAGAGGGAACAGGATCTTCAGCCTGCATCGTCATCTCTTCTGTAAAACAACTCAAAGCAGAAAAAAAAACAAAATAAGAATCACAAGTGAAAAAAGTAATAATCTTTTCATCATCATTAAGGGTAAAAGACTTGCAGCATTGCATTTACTCTCGTGCCCCAATGTAACCAAACAGGCATTCAAAGTAATAATCTGTTCATCATCAATAGCAGTAAAAAAGTTGCAGCAGTGCAATTACTCTCGTTCCCCTATGTAACCAAACACGCATTCAAGACCAAACCAAGCACTCCATAAGAAACCCTAATACCACTCTCCAGCCATCTCGAATCCAGTACTAAGTAGATAGCAAAATCTAAAGAACCTTAGCAACCAGTCCAATTTTTTTTAATGTGCTAGATTAATATGCAGCAACTCACATCAATTATCAGGAAGTATATATTCATAAAACAAAAATAGCAAATCAATCATAAATAATAAAGGAAGGATCTGATCAATCTCATAGCAAAAACAACTACCAGATCTAGCAAAAATAAAAACAAATCTTAAAAATATAAATCAAAAGAATTCCACCCAATGAAAACTCGATTCCACAATCACTTGTGAAAGACCTTTCTCCAACTAAGCTAGCAAAATCAGGACTCCACCAAAATCAACCCGATGAAAAGAAACAAGAAAGACGGCGGAGACATACGTATTTACGAGCTGAAACAATCAAATCAGTCTCTTTTTATTACTCTCCCGCCGACGGAGAGAGAGTTGAAGGCGGAAAACGTCCTGATGCGTTAAAGAGATAAGAGCAGGGAAGGACAAACTTGCCGCCGGCGGGCAAGGCTGAAGGGAATCGCTGTTCGGAAGACAGAAGAGCGGCCGCGACGGCGGAATTTGCTGAGTGAGAACCCAAAAAAAAAGAGAGAGCTTGAGATCGGGCGAAAGGGTTGCTTTTATTATATATTAAAAAAAAATCAGGAAGAGGTTTCTTGGTTTGGGTTTGGGCTTTCGTTGGGAGGCGGAGGGTTTCGAGGGAATTTCATTGTTTATATATTTATATTATTTTATTTTTTCCTAATTCGGATCGGGCTTCGTTGGGAGGCGGTGTCTTTACTCTTCCAATTTATTTTCCGGTGAGGAAAAGTGGAAATTTCTGTTTTTATTTTCGGGGGGAAAAGGAAAATTAAAGGGTGGGTGCGATCCAGTTGAATTGTGCAACGTGAGATTTATATTAGGGGAGTGCCCAATCACTAGATTTGATTTTTGGACGGCTGTGATTGATTTTTGGACGGCTGTTACGGTTGCATCGGGGGTGGAATCTGGGGTTGAGGATCCGACGGTGGTGATTGGTTGATGACTTGATGGGAAGAATAAAGGTAGGGTAGGTGGCAGGCGTGGAAAATAAGCGCAGAGCATCATCATATGAATTTACATGAAACTCGGACTCGAGGAAGAGAAACCCTACTGTGTTTGTGTAGTTGTACTGTATTCCCTTGTACTTGTGTCTTTAATCTATGTGTTAGGGTTCGTAGATTCTTTTTGGGTTAATACCCTAGTTTGGCTCGAAGTTTGGCGTTAGTGTCAATTTTGGCTCCATTTTTCAAAGGGGTTAATTACATAGTTGGTCACTGAGATTACAAAAAATGTTCATGTTTGATCACTGTAAATATTTAAATCCAATCTTGGTCACTCAAATTAGTTAAATGGTTCAAATTTGGTCACTCTCCGTCCAACTCCGTTAAATTTGTCTGACGTGGCAGTCAACCCTCAAAGTTAACCGTTAACTCAGTGACGTGACAATTAAAAAATAATAAATAAAATAAATTTTAATCTTCTACCATTTCCAACTCATTTTCACATTAAAATAAAATAAATAAAACAAAAAAATATTATAATTACAAATAAGGGCGCTTCCTCCGTTAATGTCGGCCGAAAAGGACGAGCGGCGGAAGACGGCAGCATTCATCAAGCTGGTCCACCGTCCACCCCAAGGGCATCGTGGAGCGGCTCACCCGCCCGACCCGGGCCTCCGAGGTCCTGAAGCGGTACCCGCGCCACTGCGTGACCCGACCCGACGTTTTCTTGAACCCCTGGATCGCGGTCCACCCGGACTCCCTCCTCAAGCTCGGCTGCGTCTTCTACGTCATCCCTTACCTCACCATCGACCGCTTACTCAAGCAGCACTCGCCAAATCTCGCGGCGACACTCTTCTTCTTTCATCGACCGGCCCCGGCAAAGGGGATCTACGGATTGTTCCACGGAGATGATCGGTTTCGATCGGCTCGTCAAGCACAGATCCGAGAGATTGAAGGTCGATTGCCGGTATGGTGAGTTGCGGGACCCGATTTTCCCCAACTGCTTGGTCGGGGGCCGCAAGGAGATCATCGGCGCCGATTCGCCTCAGATCTGGCGCCCGGCAACGGCGTTGAGCTACTACAAGAAGGATGCCGAGTCGAGCGAGCCGGTGGAGAGCCGTGGCGATTCGTCCTTCTCGATCAACATCGATTTGTTCAGCGGTGGCGTTCACCGGCGGCACCGACGAGTCAGCGGCGGAGGCGGGTGTGGTGCTGAGCTGGATTGTTCTTCTTTTTCTTCTTCTTCGGGATCGAAAAAGCTGAAGCCGTGTCTGCGGAAGAGCAGTAGTCGCAGTGGGTCGAGAGGGCTGGATATTACCACCCTCAAGCAGCTCCTGCTTGCTTACAAATTACAATCCCTATACCTGTCGAGATGAGGTTTATGGGGTTTTGGGGAATTAGTGGCGAGGAAGAGCCCTTTATTTGTAACTATAATATTTTTATTTATTTATTTATTTTACCCATTAAATGAGTTGGAAATGGTAGAAAATTAAAATTTATTTTATTTATTATTTTTTAATTGCCACGTCACTGAGTTAACGGTCAACTTTGAGGGTTGACTGCCACATCAGACAAATTTAACGGAGTTGGACGGAGAGTGACCAAATTTGAACCATTTAACTAATTTGAGTGACCAAGATTGGATTTAAATATTTACAGTGACCAAACATGAACGTTTTTTGTAATCTCAGTGACCAACCATGCAATTAACCCATTTTTCAAATAAGACATTTATGACATACTTTTGAAATTATTGGACAGATTTGACCCCAAAGAGAGTTTGACCGTTATAATTGACAGTCAACCATTTTTTTCGTTAGTGACTCAGCAATGACTCAGCATTCGTTGTTGAAGTGGCATCCATGTCACTTAAGTAAAGATAAAAAACATCAAAAACATTAAGTAAAAAATAAGAAATTCATAAGACTTCTCCCTCACCTTTTTTTTTAAAGGTTAACTACTGTTCATCTCTTTCCCTACGTTCTCTAGTTCTACAGACTCCCATCAATCGCCACCCGCTCGGCTGCTATCCAAATTTTTTTCTCTTCTTCCTCCTCTAAAAATGGCCACCGCCGCGGAGGAAGCATCCCGACGAGAGAGCGCTCACCGGTTCACAAGCGAAGGAGATGGCGGAAGCATCGGGGCTCTCGTCATAAACCTCATCGGACGACGACGAAAAAGCAACTCCTGTCGAATCCAGTCCCAACTTGAAGAATGGAGCCATTTTCACCCAAACACCGTCAAAGACATTCCCCACAGCAAGTCAATCGGCTACCACCTCTGGAAAATGCTCTGTTCTCGGGTTCAAAGATGGGAGATCTGGAAAATCCAACGCAAAATCGCAAAACCCAATTGGAGTCCGTAGATTTGGAACCCGACCCCGACGCCATCTTCGATATTTTGGCCTAGAGTGTCGCCTCTAGTTGCTTCCATGTCCTTTCCTTCCGATGCCGACCAGAGATCGCAACCGTCGGCGGGGAGGTGGTGGCAGGAGTAATCGTTGGCCGGGGAGCATCTAGAAGCGGAAGGAGTGGAAGGAAGAGAAGCAGAAGAGAAATTAAAAGAAGAATCTGTTTGTTTGTTTCTTCTTTCCTTGTGAATGATGCCTTGTGAATGATAGGTACGGATGGTGCAAAGAAGGAAACTTTGGCGGAATTTGAAGCGATTGAGCAGAGAAGGGCGATTAGAGAAAGAGAGAAGGGGCCCGATCGAATGGGGGGAAATTATTGTCGTTGGGGTGATATTGGATTGAGGGGAGAAAGTATTATTATTAGAGATTTTTTATTCAAAGTTTTATTTTTTATTTTATTTTATTTTCATGATTTAATATTTTAATGACGTGGACAAGTCTAGTCAGTAGCGAATGTTGAGTCACTAACGGGAAAAATGGTTGACCGTCAATTATAACGGTCAAACTGTCTCTGGGGCCAAATCTGTCTAATAATTTTGAAAGGGTTAAAGACACATTTGGTCACTGAGATTACAAAATCGGGACATATTTAGTACTAGAAAAATTTAATATCAAATTTGGTCACTAAGATTACTAAAACTGGACACATTTAGTCACTCGCCGTTAGTCTCCGTCCAACTCCGTTAATTAAGTCCGTTAAGTGCTGATGTGGCAAACAGAATTGCCTAATCAGCCGGATATAACCCAACAAAAATAAAACCCGACTCGCCACGTCATTAAAACCAACCCAACCCAACCCATGACCCAACCCCACCCAGAAAACCAAAAAACCCCATAACCCAAAAAATCTGAATCCTTCTTTTCTGATTTCTCCCTTCTTCCAATTCCCCCAAAAAAATCTAGCCCTAACCCAGCCGCCGCCTCACTTCTATCGTACGCCCAGAGGTCCGGCGACACCCCCCGAAACCGAACATGGAAGCTGCCGGCGGGAATCTCGATCTCAATGACACCGCCAATTCCGCTCTTGTCGATTCCTTCTGCGAGATCACCTCCTCCACCAGGCAGGAAGCCGCTTTCTTCCTCGAGAGCCACCAATGGGATCTCGACGCCGGCGTCTCCACCTTCCTCGACAACGATAACGCCGCTGTCGCCCCTTCTTATGCTGTTCCTGCTTCTCCTCCGACTGGCGGTGGTGGCGGCGGCACTCCTTCTCCGACTAATTCGTATGTCTCCTAACTATTCCCCATCTCAGAAACCACTTACGTTTACGGTCGGGGAAGAAGAGAGCCGGAGCGCTACAGGGGGAAACTGAACTCGCGCAATGGGGGGGATCGATTTTGGGTTTTGACCAGGGCTGTCAGCGCGCGATGAGGAAAGCTGACTCCGGCGCGCCCTGGGGGAAGACGACGATGGAGAACGACGAAGGTGGGTTTGAGGGTTTCGCCTTCTACTGCGATGGCGGAAACTGACGGCGCGCGGCACTCTGAACCGCAACCGATTCTGCTCCAATTCGGCTACATCCTTGAAAATCGCCGCAACCACGCTCTCCCCGACGTCCGCTTCTTCCGCTCCCAATTGAATTAAAAAGTGCAACAGTGATAATGAAAGGAAAAAACAATGGTGGGACCTTTTCTACAAATGGCAAAAAAGCAATGAAAGAGAGAAAGCAAGGGTTACGTGGCCCCTTCCTCTCCCACCTTTCCGTTCCATTTTGTTGAATCACCACCTCCGTTCCCCTGCGGCGACGAAGAAGAAGAAGAAGGGTTTTGGTCTGAAAATGGCCACTAACCAGATGATTTTCCTTTTTTTTTTGTTAGGTGGGTTAGAGTTTGGTTTTGGGTCGGGTTGGGTTAATGGTTGGGTTGGTGTATGACATGGCGGGTGAAACTGACGTGGCGGGTCGGGTATGATGATTTTTGGGTCAAAACGATGCTGACTAGGCGCATCCGTTAGCCACGTCAGCACTTAACGGACTCCACTAACGGAGTTGGACGGAGACTAACGGAGAGTGACTCAATATGACCTATTTTAGTAATTGTAGTGACCAAATTTGATATTAAATCTTTCTAGTGATTAAACATGTCCCGATTTTGTAATCTCAGTGACCAAATGTGTCTTTAACCCAATTTTGAAAGTAGGCCATAAATGTCTTATTTGAAAAATGGAGCCGAAACTAACACTGACGCTAAACTTCGGGTCAAACTAGGGTATTAACCCATTCATTTTTGACAATATTACGTTTCGTTGGAGAAGGTAAACTTAGGGGTGGTTTGGAAGTTGCGAATGTTACATCGTTGTATTGTAATTTATCTCTATAGTATAAATACATGTATTGATACAATGGATGCATTTTAATAATACATTTTTTGGTTGTTGAGATTTTATTTTATGTATTGATTTGCATAAAGTTACTTTATGGGGAAATGTCACATTTACCCCCAACTTTTAATATAAGACAAAAACTATTAAGGATATTAATGGAAAGAAAAGGTGGACACAAATCTAAAACCAACAATCTCAACTAAAAGTTGAGATTGTATAATGCATTTTTTTTTTGTGATTGTTGGTGGGACCTACTTATACTTTGGCACTTTCAAACATTGTATTGTCCACAATACATGTATTTAATAAACACAACTCTAACAATCACAGCTTCCAAACGACCCCTTAGTAGTAGGGTGATATTAGGTTAACGGGTATATGGAAAAATTAACTGATAACTTATGGTTGATGATTATACTGTTAATTAATTTATTATAAGTTAGCGATGTGGTATCTGTAGACTGAAATGATTTTCAATGTAATCGATAGTCGAATAGTGGTTAACAGTTAGCTGAATAACTAACTGAATATAAATATCTATATTTCTCTCCACCAAAACAGTCATACCCCTAAAAAAAGCTCACAAACTTTGAACAAACAATCTCCTCCCAACCGTACATGGGCGTTGGGCCGTGCTTGGGCCGGCACGGCACGGGCATGCTTCGGGCCCATTTATTTCGTGTCGTGCTTGGCACGGCCCATCAGTTTTCGTGTTGTGCCGTGAAAGCCCATTTGTTAACTTTGTTAGGCCCGACCCAAGCTACAGTTTGAATCATGTCGTACCTATTCGTGCTCGTGCCGTGCTGGTATTGTGTCTAATGAAAAGGAAGAAAATAAAATAGAGAATGAAAAAGAAGGTGAAAATTGGACGAAGAAAGATAGTATTAACCGAGAATGTTTGAGAAAAGTAACAAATAAGGGGGAAAAGACAATTGGAAATATAGCGAGTGTGATTTGGCTTTGTTTAATTCTTCATCCATTTTTTTCTTATGGTAGTAATTACTTATATATCTTTATGACACTTCTAACAACAACAAATAATTATTTTTATACTTTTATTTTGTAATATTTGAACCTATAATTCTTTCTGTATTTATATTCTATCAAATAAATTTTATTTTTGTGCCATGTTCGTTCTTATACTCAATAAAATCTCAAAAATATTAGGCCCAATACGACCCACTAATATACCGTGTCGTGTCTATGCTCGTAAAATTTAGGCCCAACACGCCATAAATTATTCGTGCTCATGCCGGGCTGGCCCATTTATTTCGTGCCCGTACTCGTGTCGTGCTCTAACCGTGCCGTGCTAGCTCGTGGGCGGCCCGGCCCGGTGCCCACGTACACTCCCAACCTGTTCGGACCCTCTTTTTCTTTACCCAATTTCCTCTTAGTGTGAACTGTAAAATTGAAAAACACAAAGAACAGTTACTATTGACTAATAAGACAATTCATATAGTAACTAAATGAACAATTAATCAATTAAGCGAACTCACCCAATGTGGTTCATTCATTTTCATTTATTAGTCAAACCTTCGAAATATAAAGTATTAGCCAAACATTAATTCCCCAATAATAGTTTTGTTAGTAACGCTCACTTGGGAATATGATGTTGAGTTGAAAGATATATGTGACGGTCAATAT